AAAAAAAAAAAAAAAAAAAAAAACGAATCAAAAAAGGCTTGAAATAAGGGAGGAAAAACTAAGCAGGAATGTTTCAGCCCATTAAGTCGTATGTATTTCTATTTAGCACCACAACTGGACTTCGTCAACGTAAATAACAAGTAAATTTAGCAAAAGCAAAGTGGATAAAAAGAAGAAAGTAAAAAGTTCATCCATCTCTATATGTCCACGCACATTTTTCCTCTATAACGAACATATGATTTTCCCTATGTTCATGTGATATTGTGAATCTAAATGAAAAATAGCGTAGGGATTGATTTTTTAAAAAAAACTGAAGAATATATAATGGGGGTGAAGGACTAATGGAAGCGAAACGTGTGGAAAGTCAGAAAGTCAAATACACCAAAGCAACTATTTAAAGACGCCTCGGAGTGTAAACACCGATATTTTGAATACTGCCAATAGCAAAATGTTCGATTTGTTCAGATAAGGAATCACAGACCCTAAAATCTTTTGAAAACGCATAAAAAACGATACAATGGTTTTAGAAGCGCTCAGTCTTAGCTGCAGGACTTTGCTTTTCATCATTATCCCCTTATTCCCGTATATCCAAAAAAAAAAAAAAATGCATATTTTTAAGCCCTTTTTCCGAAGCGATTAAATAAACTCGAAATAAGTGTTTAAATTAATCTTTGATCAAATTGGATCAAAAATCACAATTTATATCTTTGAAAAAAGTTCTCGATGATAAAAAACGAAAGCTCGCATTATTTTTTGGCCAGCTTTTAGTATTTTTTTTTTTTGTTTTTCAGAGAAAATACGTAATTTTGGAATTGTGGCGCATGTCGATCACGGCAAAAGTACGTTGGCCGACCGACTGCTTGAAATAACAGGAGTTTTAGATAAAAAGTGCCACGCTGAGCAAGTACTTGACAAACTACAGGTTATTTATCGTTTTTGTTGTTTGTAATTTTTGATTTAGAGACGAGTACCAGTGAGATGAGAAAATAGCCGTTGGTGTTTTTGTGCTGGATAAAATCCCAAAATCATTTGCTCTTCATAGAGGAAAAATGTAAAAGTCAAATAAAGGGCTTCTGTAAAACAGAAAGGCACCGGCGCTGTTGGTAAGTGTATGTTTGTGTATGTGTGCAGGGTGTGTGTGTGTGTGTGTGTATGTGTGTGTATATAGGGTGTTGGACAGGTTAGGATTTCATTGACTTGCTCGACAGGAGCATTTTTTATATTGCTAGATTTATATTCAAACATTTGCCAGTTCATTTGCTGTTGTGTTTATGTTTTTGTTTTTATTGGTTTTTCGTTGTTGAGGCGAACTGCAGCCTTTTTCTTGCAGGTGGAGCGCGATCGTGGAATCACTGTGAAAGCGCAAACGTGCAGTATGTTTCACAAGGTAACATCATTCTTGCAAACAGTTGTGCGGTAGAAGGTCCAAAAATGTGAAGGATTGATAAAAATAACGTCAAATAATATCATCAAAGTAATAGCTCATTTTGCTCGGCGATGAAGCTGGAATATTTCGAGATCTTACATGTTAAAATTTCGCTTCTGTTTTTCCATTTGTGAGTCAGTTTTAAAGTCTCCTTTGCGCCAAGCGTATTAGTAATGTTTCATCAGTTTCATTAATTCTATAGTAAGCTGTAGGAACGGTACGCAGTAAAAGACCAGCAGGATCATACGTTTTTTACACAATACCGTTCTTTTGACGACTAAATTTCTTTGCCCAAAACAAGTGTGGTTCCGATCGATTTGAAGCTATATCTTGAAATCCATTGAGCTTGGGAGGCTGATATTAGCGTTCTGAGCTAACATACCGCTAAAATTGATTACGATGGTTTTAGTTTTGTAGCTTTTCTATTAATGAGCTGGAAATAGGCTAGCATGCACATACATACACATAACTAATCTTTCACACGACTACATTTTTGCTTAGATAGTTTTAAAAAATTTCGAATTCGGGAATCTTTTTTAAACTTTTTTTCCAGCTATTATATAATGTTCGAAAACTGAGGAGGATCTGTATTTGCAGGATTTCTTGCTCAATTTGATAGATACTCCAGGCCACGCCGATTTCAGCTTCGAAGTTTCTCGATCCCTTGCTGCTACTAGCGGCATCGTTCTCCTTGTTGCCGCTAATCAGGTAATACACTGAGCTACTTAGAGTTTAAGAATATATGAGTATGTTATTGCGGGGTTTTTTTAATTTCTGTCAAACTAGCAAAACTTTCGCCCTTGAATTCTGCTTCCTTATGGTTTTCTTAAAATTTATTGTGGCAAAAAGAAGAGATCTCAGGTGATTGGGGACAAATGTACGAGTGTTGTTCTGCATTTTTTTTTTTTTTTTTTTGCACTTTCGAACTGTGACTCCCTCAGTTGATTACTGCAGGGTGTGCAAGCACAGACAGTGATGAATTTCTGGATAGCATTTGAAGCCGGCTTGACAGTCATTCCAGTCATCAACAAAATTGATCTGAACAGCGCCGATGTGCCACGGGTATTCTTCATTCTCATCTTTTCATTTTT